CAAAGCGAGTATATTCTGCCACTGGTTCACCCATAGCTCCAGTTCGCTGGGATTCGCAGGTCTTTATTCGCGCATAGTCACTCGCTCCAAGAATAACATGGACAGGAAGCATCTTCTTCAAGTCTGTGTCCTCCATGTACACTCCCTTCAGATGTGGGTACTTGCTTATCATTACTGCATAATTTGGGTTTTCAACAGACAGCAATTCGGCACGGTCAATTCTCGTCACGCTCAGTGGAATGGCATACTTTTCTTCCGTGTCGCTCGCTTGAACGTTGAAGATCTCGCTTCGTTTTGTAACCACTCCCACGATGGTTTGAATACGGCGTGTGTGCATACGTGTTGGTCTCAGCTTCAGCCTATCTAAGAGGTATCCAGAGGCGTAAGAAACGGTTGCGCCGGTATCCAGTAATGCTCTACAGGTTACGCCATTTACTTTGACAAGAACTATAGGATGGCAAACCTTCTCCCCGTCTTGTGTTGCTGTCAATGCGACTCCAGCATTATTTCTAGGCTGACTTGCTCTTACTTGTCTGTCACAGATAGACGAGTGGTGCTTTTGCTTGCAGTGTACACAGGAAGCTCTAATAGAGCAGTTGTTTGCGCTGTGTTTGGGCCCAGTGCAGTTAAAACACAACCGTTTATTCTGCAAAATTTGACGGCGTTCGGCAAGCGACGTGATTTTATCGCACTCCCAAGATCTGTGCGTCACGCAATCACAATAAACACACGCGTGTCGCTCGCGGGCTGGTTCGCGTAGAAACTTCTGTGGCGAGGCGGACGAGGCGGCGGCGGGGCCTGAGGTTTTCCGCTAGCTTTCTCAGCTAATTCCAGTGGATGAATTGCCTTCCATTCTTCTAGAGCTCGTATTAGTTCCGTGAATCCCCAGTCTTGCCATCCTACTTTTCCACTCACGAGTTCGGCTTTGATTCCCGGCAGCTTATCAAGCACACCACGCACCATAGAAAAACAAGACGAAAGTTTTACCCAGCGTCTCAAGAGATTGAACATTGTAGTTCAAAGTCTGGCAAAATTTATTGAATTTTGCTTGGCTGTGATCCTGTTAACACTGGCAAGGCATTCAAGTTGTCGATGTATGCCCTTACAATCTTGCTTATCTTGCCGTAATTTGAAGTCAGAATATTCTTAGCGCGCCGGTAGCCTTCAGAAGTAAAGGGAAGGTCGTCGATTGATTCGCAAACATTACTTTCCAGCAATTCTTTCAGATGAGCGAATTTTGTGACGCTGGCAGATCAGATGAATCAATTTCAGCTTCAAACTTGTTCCAAAACGAGAGCCACTTCTCATAGGTGCCGTCGTATTTTGTGATGATTAGTTTTGGCATTTTCACGTTGCTTTTGCTGGCTGGCTTTGCGGCGGCTTGCTCTGTTTGTTGAATTTTCGCCTTTTGCTCAAGTTTTAGTTTTTCAAACTCTAGTTCTTCCTCTCGTTGCCGATCGAGCAAAGTTTTCTCCTTCTCACGCTTAAATCAGATATCTCCAAATCTGCTTCGTCGGTGCGTTGTTCTATTGTTGCTCCCCATTTCTGCACATTCTCGACGATTTCTCCAGCCTCAAGCTTGGCTTTTTCGATGTCTACCTTGAGATCTTCGATGGCATTCACGATTTTCTTCAAAATTTCCTTGTGACGAAGGATTTTGTTGAGGTTGCCCTTGTCCACGATTGCAGCAGTCTTGGAGCGAGTAAGTGCTAGTAGTTGCAATTCTGTCTCGAGTTCCTTTTGCTTTTCCTCCATTTTAGTCACGGTTTAGATTCTTGATAGTCCCGTCGGAGGTGCCACTGGTGTGGGGAATAGGTTAAGAAGGCCCACAACGTCCTCAGTCTTCACTTTCAGGTTTTTTTTAATCACAGTTTTTTCTTTTCTCCTACAAAAATAATCCACCTCTCACTGGCATCAATCGAGCGAACCCTAATCTATGGCACACCTTGAATAAACATGAGCTGATTGGCTAAAACGATATTGCTGACAGAAAAATAACAAACGTACTCTATTTCACAATAACACGTGGAATAACGTGATCTTTGCCATTCAGATAAAAATAAACGCCTTCAACGACTGGCAGTTCGTGACAAAATAAACATTAAAAGCCCTATGCTATTATCGAGTTTCCGACATTGGGTTATGTTGATATAAGGCAAGCGTAAAATGTTATGTAATAAAATCTACCGTGTAACTTTTTTCATGCGTAAGGTTTATTTAAAATTGAGTTCGCGTAATGGTTTCAAAATTTAGAAATATCAGCTGTAGATCGCCATAGCGAAATAACTCAATAAATCCTTTTCAGTTTTATTTACGTTAGTTAAGTCCACTTGAAATTGAGTGCTTGAGCATTAAATTCTACCGTGATACATTAAAACGATTAAACACTTTCGTTACTTCTTTGTTGCGATGAATGAGAATGAACCAGGGTTGATAATCGGCTCAAAACTGAACCAGATGGGTCGCTTAAGGAGGGATGCACAACGGAGTATATCCCCACAGTTTCTGCTAGAGCTCCTGTGATCTCGCTTTTCCTGACAAGATCCTCCAAGGAGTTCGAAAAGAAAAGCAGCAGCTCAAAAACCTTCGGATTTTTCTCAAACAAACTACCACTCGAACTGGAGATTTTTCTCATGTTTTTCATTGCTTATTTTATCCTTCCATAGACCCACAGCTCGGTAAAAACAATTTCCATCTCCACTGACAACGACTTCTCTCCTCTGAGGTATATTTTCAGACGTTGTAATTTGTATAGCTATGGTTAATTTTTTTAATGGTTAAATTTTTGGAGACCATTACGCGTTGCCGATTTCACAATAGACCTGACGCAAGGAGAGAAGTTTATACAGTGTATTTTATGACACATTTCGTGGTAATTCTGAAAAAATTTGTACTTCCTTCGTATCAGCAATATCATAATTCATTTATGATAATGTTGATATTATAAAAAAAAAAAGAATCGCAAAAGGAAGAACAGCCGGCAGGGCAAGCGACAAAATCTTTGTTTTCATCACATCGACCTTTCCAGCTGACTTGAACAAGACTCAGGTCATAATGTTGTCAATGTTGCCTATAGACTCAACATGAACCCGTTATTTGACAAGGATAGCAATCAGCATGTCCGGAAATGTATTCTATGACGTCCAATATCTATTAGTGAAGTGATTTGCCTTTTGGCAGATACCGAACCAAACTGGCAACTTGTGTCCTCTACGGTAAGTGCTGTAGGATTTATTGGTCGACCGATAGCGAAAAAGACGGTTGTGCTCACATATAAGTACTTATGACTATGTCGTGAGCAACCTCTGCTTAACTTGATGCACTGTTGGGCTGTGATTGGGAAACCGCTACCAAAGCGGTATATGCCGACATACGTGTAGATATTGTTGCAGATTTTAACTTTTCTTTCCGTATTATATTAGAGTCTTTTTTCTCCAGTAACCGTTGTCCACATTCACGCTGCACATTTAAATCCGCTTTATAGCAAAAGCTAACAGAATTTATTTCACAGCGGCACAAAAACTCCTTCGTGGTATGAAGAGAAACAGTAAAGAAGTGATCGATGCATTGCTTTTGTCGGCCATTCATGATGAGCAGATCAAAGGTAATTTCATCTAGATTGTGCTGCTTCAAACTGACGTTTCAGTTTGAAAGTGATTTAAATAGTACGAGTACCTATATTGCTAAGTAGCCTGGATAATAACGAAATAGAATATACCACATCTGCAGCAACATTCACAATAGTTCTATTTCTTTTCTCTTGTTTTTCCCTTGGAACTTGCATAAGTGTTTAGGATGCTAATTTTGGAGTAAGGGGTCTGTGCTCTCATTCATTTAAATCAAGGGAAGGAGGTTTTGTTGGGAACTGTATTCCATATAGTGTAGCATGCACTTGGGAATTATACTTTTCTCAGATACTTAAAGCGTGATTGTAGAACCTTTCAATATTATCTATTCCTCTTATTGAGAAGTTATCTTTTTTAATATCAGGGTTTTATATTTGGGTCTTATATTTGTGGCAGATGAAGCCGTGTGTCTATACCACAACTAGTCACAGTCACTACTTATTTAAATTGGTCCAGCTTTCTGCGAGCAAGCACCGGTCCCCCTTGACCCGCAAGCGATTCTTCTAAATATTCCATGGAACACATAAATAAAACGATTGTACAGTCTGTCTAAATTCCGTGTCGAAAATATCACTTCGACCACGTTCTTCATTCACAATGATAATTTTGAAAAAAACTATTATTTATGAACAAACCTCTTATGGGGAGATAAGATGCCCTTTACTATCAGCAAATTTAGCAGATTATTCTTTCCGAGAATGAGAAGACTTCAGAGTTTAAAAAAGGACTGAAATCGTCACTACTGCTGCAAGCCGATAGGTCTTACATAATTGTTGAATAAAAATGAAATAAAGTTATCGATCTATAGTCTGGAGAACCAAACGAAACAAGCACTGAAAAAAAAACTCTGGTAATGGCATAGCGGTATTGATACATTCTTGCTTTGCCTCATTCTTGATCACGCATTTCATGGTAATGTTTTCCGATTTTTTCTCGCTATCTAACAGTTCACAAAGACTTTAAGGAGTACAAAACTAAACATAGTTTCGAACCATGATAGTTAAGCATACGGGCTTTGATATTCGTGTGGATGATGGCCCACAATCGTTCGGTAAGCAGCCATTTTGGTATTTACGGGTTGACTGCACATGTTTATTAGTCAATGATCGTAATGATTCCTTGCAGAAGCTATGGTTTTCCGTCTACACTTTCGTGCGTTGTGGTCAGTGTTGATATTTTAATTGAATTTTTACCGCATTACGATCTTGAACCATTCTAAATGTTACGCAAGATTAAAAATGGACAAATTTGCTTAAAAGCAGCAGAACAAGCGACACAATGTGTACTTCGACAGCTTATAGTCGGATAATTTACCATATTCTGCACATATATCTGTGATGCCAGAACTTAGAGAGTGTCATTTTGATTACATACCTTTCCAATCTTTCGCGACGAAGTCTCTTCCAGCCCCTTTAAATGTTGACGAAGTTTGTTTTTCATCTCATCTAGTGTATTTAAGCCTTCTGTTGAAAGGCCGAAAGAATCAAATAATTTGCAAGCTTTTTTTATATTGTTTATGGTATCCACTTTCTCCAGCCCCTTAGACATCGTGCACTTTTGACAAAATTCTCGAGAAGTCGCGTCAACAGCGGTGTATTTTTTTAAATGGCGTCAGATAATACCCAATGCAAGTTTGCGTCTTTTAAAACCACTCGTAATATTACGTTCTTCAAATCCTAATCACCATTTACCAGCCTATAATGGTGCTTAACGGCTGTTTCGAAGTCGCTGTGCCTCTGGAAAATCCCTTGCATGCGCCACAAAACTCGGAAGGTAAAACCACGACCAGATTTTCTCCTGAACGCGATCACTTGATATGTTAACAGACCATAATGCTCTTCTCAGACAGTTGGCGCTTTGAAATTATCGGGGGCAACTTCAACGGTGAATCCTTCTTAAGCTTCTCGTAAGATTTTTAAAAAGTGCCTTTATGTTGCATTTATGAAGTAAGAAGAATAGGCAGCAATTCAGTCTGCAAAGAGCATAATACGCATACCGCGTCACGGTCGTTCGAATGAATCAATTATTAGCATGAATCACCGGGCTACAGCCGTCTTGTTAGCGTGATTTCCTCAAGTTGAACAATCAACTCGACTAAACTGTATCTCACATCATTTTAGTTTTGGTGGTAATGGAAAAGGTTTAAATGCAAAGATAATCAATTGCTCATTGCATTTCATATGTGACTAATTCTGAGAAAACCGTGATGGTTTTTCTGGGAATAGGGCAAAGTCCCTGTCGTTACACATTGTCAGAGGCACCGCTGGGTAGAATGAATTTGCAAGTCTCTTTTTGATAGCTGTCCTTTGTGGTTTCTTTACAAATAGTTATATTCCAATATGTATCAGTATTCAAAACCGGCTGGTAAATTGATTGACACGATGTGACTCCACTTCAATCCGTAATGCAAGAGGGGAAATTAGGTCATTGACATGTAAAGACTATTTGTATGTCACGGTTGAAAGAGATGTCTGTCATCACCACGAGCGGCCAGCCGATGAAATGGTTAAACTCTGCAAGACTAATAGCAATCAGAAGCAATTTCCTACAAACTAAAATCATCGAAAAAACCTTGTTATCTCTCTTTGCTTTTCGGTCCATGTTTATAAATAAGAGAATTCCAAAAACTTTTGGTCGTATGCGGTTTTCAACAAGGGATTCACGGTTGACTTACGCTAAATAGCTTTGGAATGTTTGATTTCGGTAAATTGAAAAAGAACATATGGTTTTTTCAAGGTATAGTTCTTTTAGAGGCTGATGCAACAACGACAAGATAAAACTTTTATTTTACTTAAAAACAGCCGTGGGTTGGTAACTTAGAAGAGGAAAGCGGTTGGTAACGCTAGTATTTTCGCTCGAAATATCTATGTTATCAGATTCTAGGGCGACCTGGCTGCTTAAAGGTCGCTTTTCATTAAACCTAAACTTGATATGAAACTTTGTTTACCGTAAGTCGTCACGTGACGATTCTAGAAATGTAGACCTTGGAAAACAATCCCAAAAATTGAATATTCCTTCTCTACTGGGCGCCGTGTATTAAATTTTCCACAGTTTCTTTTGGAATAAAAAAATGGAAGCCATCAGACGGAAATTGGATGAGGCAGATGACATCGCCGATTATTGATTTAATGCAGAATTCGAGCATTCCAAGTAAAGGATGCAAAAACATCGGTGGAGAGGGAAATACGGGGTCTCGACGCTACTTTTCTTGATTTGTTGAAAACAAGCGAGGGCGACGTCCTTTCAAAAATCAAGACAAGAATGAAAAGAATGGAAGACAGAGATTGTGTTGTTCTTGTAGCAGGTGAATATCTTTAATATAATACCTTGCCCAAACCACTGAGGTGCTTTGATCAGTCATGATCATACTAAACACATGAATGCTTAGGGTTTAGGGTAAATGTTGTTAACAACAAAGCATCCTTATCGTGTTAATAAATTTATAATCAACTGGTTCGCTGATGAAAAAAATATACTTAGAGACCAAGTATAGTGAAGGGCATTTTCTCCCTTGGGTACCCCTGTGTGAACAGCACCTTTATGAGCAACTTTCCCAACCCCTCTCCCCAAGTGCCGCTAATTTGACACGCCGACAATTTTGCGACGATTTGAAATTCATCTTCGCCGAGTCTCGGCACAATTTCCTCAGCGCAACAAACAACAAAAGGCTTTTGTTTGAACTTGTGAAGTCGAATTTAATCCACAACAATGGCCCATTTCTTGATACGAAGAAAGCCGGTAAAACAGTGACAAAGAGGAGTATCAAAAATCTTCTTGGCCAGGACGCTAACGAATTGTGAGGATTTGTCCTTTAAAACCGGAAAGATTGCGTCGAATAACTCGAACTCTCGAACAATGGGCGGAAGACTAGGGCAATTGTATTTTGCTTATGGTAAAAATTTCAAACTAATATTGATTTTTTAAGGAAGAACTTGAGATTTAGGATTTAAGCAATGATCATTTTGCCTTTTTAATTACGCTTAGGGGAGACCAGTGCAGGCAAAAGCACCATGTTGAACCTAATTCTTGGTGAAGAGCTTTTGCCATTTTCAGTTCTGAGTACATCATCTACAATTTGTGAATTGAAATATGGAAGAGAGAAAAGGATAAGGATACACTATAAAGAAAAAGGAAAGGCTCCAGAGATAAAGTATCTTACAGAATCCGCGCCTCACATAGGTCAAATATCAGAATTTGTTCATGTCAAGTCTGCAAAATATACGTGGAATAGATGGGTGAACGGCCATGTTCGAAAAAACCAGGGGCTTATTCAAACTTTTCCTAGAGAAATCGGGGAAATTGTGTACCCGTGGTATAGAATTAAGAAACATCAACCTTCGTGGTGCGTTTAACGGGCAACTTTATTTGATTCTTCCTTAATCTGTACAGCTGGCTAGATCTTTTACTGTCTCGAATGATCTGGCTGATGGATACATTTTTAAGAAACATCTCCAATGACCATGTGGCTGCGAGAGATAGATTAAATGCTGTGATAGAGAGGCTGAGAAAACTTCAAGTGGAGCAGGAGTCATCGCAGGAAGAAATGAAGCGATATCTTGATAGACAGACTTGTCAGGCCATCAACACCTTAATCGACCACCTACAGACTCCTCAAGTGGTAGAGATATTTTGTAAGTGGAACTCTGACGAACTTCCAGCTGTCGAGAAGTCATGGCAAGTTACCGAGGCTGCCCTTGTTAAGCTTCTTCTGGGAAGACTACAGATATTGATTAAAGAATGGGAGGAAGAGCAGCAAAGATTTGGGGAGGCACGGTAATCACTGATCAAAGAGTTCCTCGAAAAATACAACTATCTGAAGAAAGAGCTTCGCAACGTGGATGTCAATGTTTCACAAATACAAGTATATATTGAGGAAGAAACAGCAAGCGAAAGTGTAGAGGATCAAGTTTTCAACAGCATTGACAACTTTTCGCTCCCAGTTGAAAGTAAACTTTTTCTTGGACTGATAGCGATTCCTTTCATGGTTACAGCTCTTATTGTTGGAGCTACCTTGGCTGTTCCAGTAACACTGCTTGCTCTTCCGATTGTTGGAATTAAATCTATTGCCAACGCCATCAAAGAAGGTAAAAAGAAGAGGTCATACAGTAAAGATCGTGCTGAGTTCGTACGAATCATGGCACAAAAGTTTCTAGGGAAAGTTGCAACCTTTGAGACGCTAAAGCCACTGGTCGAAGGGCAATTGGAGCTAGCCGTAAACACCCTGAATGACCTGCAAGCGAGAATCCCCATGCTTTTTGCAGCCGATGTAAAACTTTGTCACCAACTTATAGAGGAAACGCAAAGCAAGAAGGACTCTGAAGCTCGCTACAAGCTGTGACGATACGTTTTCTCAAACTGGAGGACTGAATCTTCGCGGACGGCACAATAATAACTGGGGGAAATAACTCTGTAGAGACGACTTGGCAGCGAGAACGGAAACTCGTCACGATTTCCTGGTACACGGAGATCTGCTTCGAGCGAGCTTATACGGACGTCAAGGATAAGACAATCTTTGGTTCCACAGTACTTTTATTCTAGGTCAGGCCAACAAGCGACATGACCTCTAGCATACTCTAGTTTGTAATCATCAAAGCTGTACAAGGTACTTGCTTAAGAAGTAACTGGTGTGAAGTGCCATTGTTACACAAATCGCAATATTTGAATAAGGACACAAAGGAGCGGAAAAAAAGTCTCTTTGAAGTTAAACGAAAACTACTTAAATATTCCATCTGTTTCTACGACGGAAAGAATCTCAAAATAAAAAGACGGATGCAATAAACTCTAGGCCATTAAAGTAGGAAACCTAGGTGCGATTTTACAGCTCTGATATAGAAAACAATACTTATCTTAATTGCAGTAGCGCAGCTCAGGAAATAAAAAACGGAAAAGCAATTAAAAGTTTCTGCTTATTTATGCAATATTGGTTTGGAAACCATCGCATGAAAAGAAATTAGATTTACGAGTACAAACTCAGCTGCTATCTACCATGAAAACCAATGTTTCCAGAAAGACCATTAACACTTATATTTACCTAAAAAAAACCATGTAATAAATAACAAAAGTGCCGACAAGCAGGTGCATATGATGAAAGCGAGTAACAACAAAAATCTATTCAAAAGCTACTGTGGTTTTTTTATGCATTTTTTGATTTATTAAAATGAAAGGACTTGAAATGGTTAAATGTGAAAGTTTACGAATAAATATGTTCCGAATAACACACACGGGAAAAGTCATTAAATTTTCCCGTAACAAAGCCTTGTAGAGACAAATGCAAGCGTTTGCGCGGTGAGCTCACGTTGTTTGGTTCAATGGAAATCCGGTGCATGCGGCTCTCCTGGGATGATCTTTCTTGGGATGTCAACGATGATGTCTACTTGAAGCGACCAATGGACCCCGGGTTCTATCAAGGGTGCATTTCCAAGGGAAGGTACTCGCCAAGTGGCCAAATAACTTTCAAAGTGCACAGGGAACTGCTGACCAGCAGCAATATCAATAAGTGCTAGGCAGACGAAGCAATCTTCAGGTACAAGTTAACTAATAACCAAACAATTTTTTATCGAACACTCAACCAACAAAATAAACTTGTCTTTTTAGGATTCAGAACACCTACGCGTTATGCTACCCAGGTCACTTCAATAGATGTGTTGTACAGTTCTGTTCGATTCGTCCTGGAATTAACTTTACCGGTGCAGTGCTCTACCTACCGACCTTACAAGCCAACTGAGAGCTGGTCATTGCACTGATTTGTAATAATCCGCCACCGCATAGATATGGGTTC